TTTGGCGAATTACTGTTATTGCTGTTTGTGCTTTGATTATTTGATTGATGGTGGTGTTGTTGTTGTTGTTGTTGATGTTGATGTTGTTGTTGTTGTTGTATGTGATGTGAAGGCATGTGATAGTCGTTGACATTGTTACCGTTACCGCTGCCACCATTATTTAAAGAGTTTATAGAATTTAAAGGTGATTGTGATGAAACAGGCACAGAACCAACTGAGGGAAGTGGCGCTGAATTCATTAATTGATTGTGATTCATCATTGAGGAACTTGGATGATCATGCATATCTGATTTATAATTTGGAGGAGGTGGTGGTTGATGACTAATTTTTTATTGATTGTAAGGGAAAAACAAATAAAGTTTTTAGGATAAATATTATATGTATATGTGTATGTGTGATGCAAATAGGTATATAATATATATATAAACGCATATAATAATATTTCTAAAGATCTATGATTTTTTGATACTAACAAACTATTTGCAGGCATTGTTTCTGTTTGATATCTGATACTAGATAAAACACACCAGATAAATCAAAAATAATAAATAATAAATTAATAAATCTCATGTGAAATAAAAAAGGAAACATTCATCTTTGTTAAATATACATACGCAGTATGAGATGGATATCCTGCATTAGGATTAAAATGATGAAAACCACTGTAATTTGAATGCATGTGCGATGCTACCGGTAACATTATATTGCTAAATATTGGAAAAAAATTTTTTTTTGCTTAGCATACATTTATATAATTATATATATAAAGATAATTGATTATTATTTTTACCTATTATCTGATGCAGCGTATGGCATTTTTTTTTGTTTTTAGGTATATTTTTTTTAAATATTTACAAAAATGTATGTATGTATGTGTTGTATGAAAATAAAATAATGTATGATAGATGTGCGCGTGTGATTTTTTATATGTTAGATTTATTGAGATTTGGTAATGGTAAAATCGTTAAAAAAAGAGGAAGAAAGTTAACAACCAAAGATTTATAAATTTTTATTATAAAAGGAAGAACTTTTATTGATGTTGTAAATGTTGATGTTTTTTTTTTAGCTGTTGGTTGCTAATTGTCGTTATAAAATATATATTTTTTTTTTTAATGTTGTCGTAATAGTCGTCGTTACAGATATTCTCTTTTGTTTTGTTTTTTTTTTTTTTTTAGAAAAAATTATAATAATATGGAACAACCTCGCACAATAAGATTAATATTGAATAAAAGTGGTCGGTGCGGGAAAGACGTAAAAAAAATTCTTTAATATTAAAAACACTCAAAAGGTGCTTTTTCTTTGTTATCCAATAGAAAGAAAAAAAAAATTGGAAGATTTTAAATTTTTTTTGAGAACTGGTAACAAATCAAGAAAATAAAAAAAAATAAAAAAAACGACAAAAGCTGTTTTTTTATCCTGATTTTTATTTAGACTTTATGTGACAATATGGATTTGATGAATAAACGTTATTTATTTATTTATTTATTTTATTTATTTATTTGTTATTGTAAATAACATATAAAATATACGTGATAAATATTTAAATAATAATAAATACACAAAAAAAAAAAAGAAAAGCCAATTACATAATAATAAAAAAAGAAATACAATTTATTATCATTAAAATGCATTCATTCAAAAAAAAATCAATTTATTATTATTCTTTGTTTAAAATAATATAATAATTATTATAATGGGTTGTTGATAATCTGGTATCATATAAATAAATAATGAACATAATGACTATTATTACGATTTACCAACCTTACCTTTTAGACCTCAATGAATTTATACAACAGAAGACAAGAGGCTTTTTATTAAAAAAATATAAGTAGTAATGAATGCATTATTTTTCAAAAAATCAAAAAAAAAAAATCTCACAAATAATTTTTTTTTCTGAAAAAAAAAAAATTTAAAAATGTTTTTTCTGATAAAAATAAAATTTTTATGATTAACTAAAATAGTCATTCAAGGGACTTTTTTTTATTTATTTATTATAGAATAACAAATAATTCAATTGTATATGTATATGTTTTTTTATAATGAATTTAATTAATTGGTGATTATTGATGATGATGATGATGGTTATAACAAACATGTAGATTACGTACGACTGTGATGATTATTATATTATTAAGTAAATTTTTTTAAAATGAGAAAACGAAAATAAAATAATTTTTGTTAATAAAAATTTTGATAAATATTACCTTAATTAACAATTAATCTATTACTATTATTATTAAGTTCATTCAAAATTTTTCCTTATTTACGCCAAATCTTAAAAGCCCAGAATGAAATTACGAATTTAAAGATATGCGCATTATGCTATATAGATATGTTTTGGAAACACAAATATTTTAAATTTAGTTATATTAAAAAAAAATTCCTTTATATAAACTTTTTCTCTCTCCCTAAATATATAATATATATTAATATATATATTATCATCAACCCTGATTTAAAAATTTTTAACCAAAAAAACAATCTAATCTATCCATCTGATGCTTTAATTTTTATCTTTATATAATTTTTTATTAAATCAAAAAAGAGATTTCGCTGTCCCACAACATAAGCAGGCAGGGAGGGGACCCTCTGTCTGTCGATGTTGCGTGATCATTCCACGCAACGGTGGTGGTGTTGTTAGATTTTTTTCATTTTATTTAATACTTCAATTCGGGCAACTTTTCAAAAGTATTCAATTAATCCAGGCTAATTATAGTTAATATCCAGAAGAAGAAGAATTTCAATTTAACCATCCAAATTATCCCGCGAAAAAAAAATCCAAGTTTTTATTATTGTTACCCCGGAGAAATTTTAACCAAAAGTAACTAACCAAACTGTTAATTATATTTTAAAATTAAAGAAAACAAACTTTTTGCTTACAAATATTATTGATATGTATAGTAAATCAAAAAAATTAAACTTTAAAAACATTTGAAGAGAAGAAAATTCTTGATTTTTTACTTTTTATTTTTCCCAAAATAAACGATTTCCCACATGTAACTAATTATTATTAAAAAAAATTAAATTAAAATTAAAATGCTTCTCTTTCAAATTCCTGTTTCTTTCTTGATGAATTTATTTCAGTTATGCACATTCAAAATAAATAAACAAAATTACAAAATAAAATAAACATGCAAAATATTTTATGCTTAATTCTTTATTTATTTACTATTTATTTATTTTATTGTTATATTTTTTTTTTTTTTTACAAATCACACCGCCATTGATCTACTGGGATTTTCTTAAATTCATAAAAATTATTAAATTTCGAAAAACTACTCTTTTAAGCCATTAAAAAAATATTAAAGGATATCGATATCCGTTATATCTACTAATAAATGATGATAATGAATAACTAGACCCTGAATATCTAATTTCAGTCATTCAAATGAGGTCATAATGATGTAATTATCATTATATTTTTAAGTATTTTATTAAAATAAGGTTGTTTGTGGTACATTTGCTCACTCATTTTATTTTATTTTCCACCCAATCCCCCCAAAAAAATGATTTCCTTTACTATTTTCTTTTTTTATAATTTTTTTTAACAAATCCCATTCATTAAACACATTAACATCATCACCAAAAATATAATTTAAGGATTTTTATTCTCGTAATCATTGTATCAAAATATTTTGTATTTTTTTTTTTTCCCTGTTACATCAATAACTATATTTTTATGTTATGCATAAATTTTTAACTGTAGATTACATCATCAACCATCGTGGCGTGGTGGTATTTAAATATGAATACTATTTATATATTTATATAAATAAAATTGAATATAAAATAAATAAAATAAAGGTCAAATGACATTGTGTACTTTCTAAGATCATCATCATCATCATCACTTATTATAATCTTCACTACATATTAATACTATAATTAGTATATACTAATTATTATCAATTATCACAACCAACCACCACGTTGGATATTATAAACCAGAACTTTTTCATATGACAATTAAAAAATGCACGCCAACCTTTTTTAATTAATCCGAACATTTTTTTAAAAATCTTTCTTTCTACCAAACAATTATTCAATTCGAAAAGAAATAAATATATATTTGACATATCATTTACAAAAAAAAATTTTTTAAAAAGATTTACCCATTTATTTTACTTTATTGTTTTTTCATGATATCATTACACACATTAATAATGCCAATAATGAATGCTATATGCATTATTTATTTATTTATTGACAATGGATGTGTAATTTTTGGGTTTTTTTTACCAATCAGCCGACTAATCTATCGATAAAATTTCTTTTGATAAATCACTAAATCAAATTAATCCAAAATACTGCGTCAATCAGCGTGTGAAAAGTTTTGAATTGCGCAGTTGGTTACAACGAAACGCGTGTACTCGCTCATATTTATACTTATTCAAGTTTTTGTTTTTGGTGAAGTAACAAACGCTTATTGTAACATACTATAATTATTATTGATCGCTGATGAGATTAAAGAGGCTTCAACTGGAAAAGGACCTTATCCATCCGATCCTTGGTTTGGTGTATTACAATCATCAAAGTCCGAATATATTTATTTGTCGATCATTCAATATTTATACATAAAACCAGTTTTTTTTTTGACGTTAAGATGAAAACTGAATGAAATTTCCTCTTTCACTTGAAAATGATTTCTCAATATTTACAAATAATAAAGAAACACACAAGATAAGTAATGAGGAGAATTTATTTTTGATTAAGTTCCATCCAATTCACAAATTTGTGATAAGATCTCTAATACTAATTAGTATTAGTATTAACAAAAAAATGTCTTTTGTATTGCATCAATCACGCACGGATCATCGAAAAATAAATAAATATGATGATGATGAAATTGAGAATCAAAAAAGTCTCCCCTTATTATAATATTTAAAGAAATTTTTAATTATTATTTTAATTATTCAATTAATGAAAATAGAAATTGCTCCTTGATAATAAATAATAAATCTTGGACCGTCAATATCATACAAAAGGTAAATCCTAAAATACCCTTGCCAATTATTTATTGTAATATGGATTATGCTTCGGCGATAAATTTTACTTAACGCCACAATTATAAATTATAATGTAAATCCTCCCATAGATAATCATTGAAGCGATAAATTCAAAGGTGTATGTGTATCAATGCCAAGATTATTATTATTCTTTGCTTGGCCTTCAATTGATTGTTCGGATTTTATTCAATCCATTTCACTTTGGTTTAACCGGGCCTGCATTTGACTTGGATAATTTTCTCCTATTCTCTTTTTTTTCTCTTTATTGGAAACTAACCTAATATAGGTAAACTGCTAATTGGTAAAGTACCTCAACCAATATTTAAAATAAAAAGCCTTCATTTTTTTTCTCTTGCTCTATCCAATTCATCAAACCTGCCTTTAATTGCTCCATTTTAATTGAAATGCTGATGGAAAAATCGTTTCTTTGGTAATGCTCTTTTCTCCAATTCATTTGATCACATTCAACTATCGTATTCTGTCGCTTATTCACTGAAGGTTTTATTATAAAATAAAGAAAATTGTTATATATTTTTTTAAAAAATTCGAATTTTGCTTATTTCTGAGGAAATACGGTGTCTGTTTTCTTAATATTTGCCCTTTGGTAATAGCCCTATTTTCTAAATGTCAATAATTCAATTGGTCAATTGTTGCTTTTTAATTGGTTTTTTCCCTGCTTCATCAGTGCTGCGGCCCGAAATTTTTTAATTCAGACCAGTTTAGGTTTAGTGTGAGCTCTTTCCCGAACTGATTAGCAAATTCAAAAGGGGTCTACGCCATAGAATTGGTCTTGTGCTTATCTAATTG